GTGATTTTACGTTCACGCTTCAGCTGTGGGTTTAAATTTAACAGCTGCCTTAAAAAGCTTTACATTGTAAGGTAACACTGAATCATCCTTGATGAACAGAAAGGGCGAATATTATTATTATTTTTAGCAAAGTGCAAACAAAACAAAAACTGTAGGTCGTGATATATTCGCTTAAACAAATTGTATATTTTTCTGACAGTTGACATCCCACAGGAGCAGCTGGAAAGCTGTGGAGCAGCCGACTGCGGTCTTAATGTGACTGCTTATGGGAACACCACAAGGCCTGAGCAGAAACTGGTGTGGACGCTCGTCGGAAGCTACATCGGTAAAGTTTCCAATCACCTGAATGAGGGTGTTAGCTAATCAGTAATCAGCCAAACTTTAAAGCAAAGAAATTATATAACCATGCAACCACTCGTGAAGGTGCGACTAACATATTGCAGCTGTCTTCTAAATCACTGTTCTTTGTGTGTGGCAGGCGTGGGTGTGCTGGCCATCCTGATCGTGGCGGTGTTTCTGGACAACATCGACCGCGAGCAGGCCAGCGAGTTTCGTGGTAGCCAGCAGCCGTTTTGCCACACGTTCTTGGCAACATTCAGGCTCCTGAAGGACTGGAGGCTGGTGACGCTCATCCCACTCACCATGTACAGCGGCTTTGAACAGAGCTTCCTTTCAGGGGAGTACACCAAGGTAAGGAGAGCTCCAAAAGATGAAGGCTTTCAGGTGTTAGTGCAGTTTTCATTAAGTCATATAGTTAAATAAAAGGATTTGATACATTAGCCTAATATTTTAGATCTTTTCATTATTAGCGCAGTACAGCTTGACTTGGGGATGGAAAACCAGAAGGGGTGTGTAGGGAGGTGTGGTCAGATACATTATCTCCAATTAACTGAAGTCAGCAACACTGACCTGGGTTGGGGTCTGACTTTGATTGTGCACCTTGATTCTTTTCTTTTTTAACCATTTAGTTGTAGATTTGCTTCTGTCCTTGGCATTATTGTTCCGTTGCATGACACAATTTCAGCCTAGTTTAGCTGTCAGGTAGATGCCCTCACATTTGACTCTAGAATACTTCAGTATACATGACTGCGTTGTGCCCAAGTCCTG